GGAAATAATCTGAAATGCCCACAAAAGATGTCTATCACAAAGTCAATGGCAAAATATCAGATACCTAAATATTCTACATAAAGAGATTAATAAAATCTTGCCATATTTATATATTAGTATACCATATAGTTATGTTTTAAAAGTTATATTTTAAAAGACTACTTAATGACAAGAAATGCCCATAATATAAGGGCTAATGAAAAAGCTTTTATACAAAACAATATATTTTTTAAACTTTATTTAAAAAAGAAAAACACAGAAAAGCTATGGAAATACACCAAAACATAAAGTGTTTATTACTAGGTGGTAGAATTTGGGGGTATTAATTTTCTTTTTAACTCTTTTCTAGTTTTCTAAAACATTTAAGTACATATATTTGTTTTAGAATCAGAAAAAAACTTAAGACTTGACGAACATCAGTGTGCTCAATTTGGGGTACTCCGTACAATTACTTTTATGTAACAAAATAAATACACACAGCAAGAAGACTACAAAAATATATACCAACATCCTAACAGATTCCCTCACTGCTGGGATTAAGATGTTGTGATTATTTTCCTTCTGTCTATTTTTTTGTATTTTCCAGCTTTTCTGCGATGAGTTTTTTTTTTTTAAGTTCAGAGCATGCTCCCTAACATGTTATTATGAAAAGTTCCAAACGTACAGTTTGAATTTTCAAATGTTTAAAATCGAAAGCATCTTCTACTGAACATCTGTATACCCACCACCTCGATTCTACCATTACGTTACTATATTTGCTTTATCACAGCTATGTCCACCTAGTCTTTCCGCCCGTAGAGTAACTTTAAACCCTCGAAGTGATCAGTGTTCTGAGAGGCAGAGGTAAAACACTGAGGGAGTCCGGGACAATGACAACGAGGACAGCAATAAAACAGGCATGTGATGTGCTCTGTCTCTGTTCTAGAATGTACTGGTTCCCGGCTGCATGCCTGCAGCCTTTAGCCCCAGCTGTGGTTCACAGACGTGAGGTCATGAATAAATTGCAGAGAGGGGGCTGCTGGCAGGCACGCAGAAGCTGTGTGCATTTTTAATGAATATGCTCCACCTGCCCCAGGGAAATGATATAAGTGGCCGACGACACCCCTGAGGACCCATTCGCCTTGGGGAAGCCCACCTCTGCCTGGAAGGGTCAAGGAACCCACTCATTTGCTCATTCCCTCAACAGATGCTCACAGCCCCAGGCACCAACCTAGGTACCTGGGCTATGTCCACGAATGAAGACCCCGTCTTCGTGGAGCTTTGGTTCAGGATCAGGGAGGGAGGTTCCTCCCTCCAAAAAAGTTTAATACCTTAGTAAATAAGTAAACCATTTAGAATATGAGAAGAAGCACCAAATGAAAAGAAAAAGAAAAGGCAAAGCTGGAGTGTGGTGGGATGGAGGCGGGGGTCGCAAGATGAAACAGGGGGTCAGGGAAGGCAGAGAGTGGGCCCCGCAGATGTGGGGACTATCCAGGCAGAGGGAACAGCCTGAGCAAAGGCCCCCCCGTAGGAATGTGTTTGAGGAACAGCCTAAAGCAAATATAGTAACGTAATGGTAGAATTGAGGTGGTGGGTATACAGATGTTCAGGGGCCAGGGTGGCCGGATCGCAGGGGAAAGATGGGACAGAGAGAAAGCAGAAAATGAGAACAGCAGGGGAGGGTGAAAGAGGTAATGGATTCTGGATTTCTTTGAGGGTAGAGCCGGCCATTGGAATGAGGCGGGGCATGAAGGAAAGAGGAGTCGACAATGGCCAAGGCCAGGGCAGTGGGAGGCTAACTGGGCAGCGGGAGACTAACTGGGCAGCGGGAGACTAACTGGGCAGGCTCTGTCGAGATGTCCACCAGGTCGCCAGGTAGAGAGAGAGGCCAGGGCAGCAGCTAAATGCATGAGTCTGGGGGTCAGGAGGGTGGTCTGGGAGGAGGGTCACTAGCGACCTTTATGAGAATGGCTCCCCTGGGGAGTCGGAGGCGAAAGCCTGGCTGAAACGGGTTTAAGAGAGAATGGGAAGAGGAGATGGAAAGGCAGCACCTGAGATCTTTGCTGAAGTCTTGAAAGATAAGGGGGAATGTGTGTGTGGAAGAGACAGCATTCAAACCCGAATCCTACACGCCCAACCCTCACGCTGCCTTCAGAGAGGGTGGTGGAGAGGAAATGGCCTTAAAGAGAAGAGATGGAGACAGGCGAGCAGGGGTGGGGGGCAGAAGGTTCTCCAGGAGCAAAAGCACAGCTGTGAGAGGGGATCTCACGGTGCTTTGGGGTTTAGCCCTAAGCAAGATTCCTGAGATGGAGCCCAAGGCTGGCTCTTTTTTTTAAAGCTTCCAGGTGATTCTACTGTGCAGCCCAGAGTGAGAACCAGAGGAGAGGGTCTCCGAGGGGGAGTGAGGGGTCAGACTGAAAGGTGAGTCTGAGATGGGCAGTCAAATCTCATTTTGCAGGTGGGAAACTAAGGCTAAGAGAGAAGTCACCTACCCAGGATCAACCTGAAAGTGGCAAAACAGGAACTTGACCCACAGCCTCTTTCCCCACCACAAGGATAAGGAAAGAACCCAGCTCTCTGGAAGATTCTACCAGCTCCAACTCTAGTTCCTGCCTAATAACCCACATCCACCCTGCAACTCTGTGGTATGAGACCCTCGGCTATGGGCACTGGACAGATACAGAGAGGAAAGTGAGAGCACTTTTAGAAGAATTTTCAACCCAACAATTGAAACAAAACAAAAAGACTGTTATTAATTCAAGGCCGCTAAGAAGTATTCCAAGCCACCCACACTCAGCCCCATTTAGGAGAAATGTGGGCTATATGGTAGACAGGCAGCCTCTCCATCCCAGCGAGGTCTGGGGCACTGCTTCAACAACATCTAACAACTGTCAGGCCCGAAGCGCTGGACAGTGGCACAGCCAGAGTGGAGAGGCAGCCGCCCTCTTCCCTGGGTGTAGACAAATAGGGATGAGTCATCCGTAGAGAATTTAAAAAATAAGACACATCGAAAGTCAGTTTTCTGTTTGTTATTACTGCAGGCCGACCATTTTAAAGATCAGTGGTAATATACTATTTCCTCCAAAGCTATTTTATTGCTCTTAGTTCTATTTCTGTGGTTCCTATTGAGATTTAATAATATATATGTAAGCCTCGAATTAGCCCATTTGTATCTCTTATTCTTTAAAAAGCTTGTCTTCTACATGAAAGTTTTAGTCAGAGAATTTAGCCCAGTTAGAGAGTCAGCCCCGGACACACACTCAGCTGCATGTGTAATTTTCCAAATGGCTCAAGCTGCTTGCTTCAGTATGCTTCAAGCTGACTTCTGGCTGGATCTGTGTTGCCCATTCCTGTGGTCCTACATTTTCCTGTGTTTAAACAGAAGACAAAAGAGTCTACTCTCCCAGTGCCAGAAGAAACGCAGATAGAAGTGTTTGAAAGCCTAGATCATGTTCACCAAGAGCTAGACCATTCTTCGAAAGTGATGAATTAAACAAATGTCACCATCATTCAGCCATTTTCTCCGATTTTTGCAGAAGAACAGAAACTTGGGAGAATTTCGCCAAATAAGGTAACTTGTGATGAATTTTCTAGTGAAGATGTTTTAGTGAAAATGTTTCAAATGTGGAGATATTTAAAAGCCAGTAGGACTGATTTTAAGAAATAAAGATATAGGCAGTATTGTATTACGATCTTTAGAATTTATTGAGATTTTTATAAATCTCTCAAACTTATCCTAATGTTTAAGGCTCTTCCTACTTGTGTATCTGTTGTTTCATGTGAGAGCTTTTGAAAGTAAAATTAATAAAAATGTGCTTCAATCGATTGTGAGCAAAGATGGATTGACAAATCTAGCTTTACCGAATACTGAACATGAATATGCAAAGAAGTTCATTTTGACAAAGTCATGAACAACTTTTGAGAAGTTAAATTTTCAAAACAGAAACTGTAATGTTATTCAAATCTGTGACTAACCTATATATAAGAAAAGTTTTTTCAAAACTATATTGAAGCAATTAAAAACTATTAATCCATTACTTTTCTTCTGGTTTTTTTTTTTTTTCTGTATAACATTTACTTTATTTTTCTTTAAAAAAATTTTTTTTCACTGGCGTGATTTCATATACAAAGCTCAATAAAAGAAAATTTCCACTTTCTTTTCTGGACATTATTATTATTCATTTTTTATTACTGAAAATAATGTTGTCAGGTAAAGGAGAGGGATATTTTAAAACGATCACTCCGGGATCAAATTTGCATGGTAAACCCTGGTGCCAGGCACTTGTAAAGTTCTTTGATTGAAATAAAACTAAATTACAGTCGAGTACTTCATATGTGCGCAACGCCCTGTTTTGAACACTTCATAAAGTCTTAGGTGGTAAAATCTTCACTCGAGGGAACAGAGTGGATTCGAAACTCGATCAAAGTGCCACAGCTAAGTGCTCAGGGGCCCAGGATCCCAGATGAGTCTACCTCAAAAGCATTTGCTAAGCCCCTTTATGATTTCTGAACCACATCGCAGGTTAGAAAAAGGAAAAGTGAAAGCTGGGAAATTGCTGGCAGGGCTGGTCATGAGATATACACATCAGCTGAGACCAGAAAAAATCCCTGTGGTCAGACCCAAGCCAGGCCTGGGGCAGCCGGTCCAGCCCCCAACACTCAACCCTAGGAGCCAGTCCCGTTATTCTGGTCTGACTCAGGAAGGCAGCACAGAACCTCTGTAGGGTAAGGCTCCTTGCTGCCTTCCTCCTCCTGTG